TTTTTGGTTGTATTTATGTTGATCTGAAAAGAAGATAACATTAATTCTTTTGTTTTTAGTTTGCCTAATAGTTTATATGGCTATTTGAGCAATCTATTCTTTTGCGTGATGAGAGAAATTATCATCTAAAAATAAATAATTTTGCAAAGAGAAGGTTGAAAGTATATGAGACATTATAATGAATAAAATAATTATAGTTAAAATTGAAATACTTAATATTTAAGAATATATTAATTAAGTTAATAGAAATAGGTGAGTTTTTGAAATGAATATGGATTAATATTAAAAATAATTAATTATTATAAGAAATATTAAAGATGTAGAGATAAATAGATAATATTAATAAAGAATACTAAAAAAAGGTAGAAGAATGTATGTAAAGTTTATAATAAAAAGTTGAAGTAAAGATATTATTTAATAAAAATAAATAGAACTCATTCAATAATATTGATGCAAAACTTGATGAACTTTTTAATGATTAGTTTATTTAATCAAATATTAAACTATCTTAAAGATAATAAGATTTACCTAAATTCAATTCATCATTTAAAATATAAGATGACAATTTCCCAAAGTAAATCTATTAAGAATTGACTTATTTAATTAAGAATAACATATAAAATCAACTTTAAATGTAATAATAAGAATTCAAAATCTAAGAAATTACTCAATCTAATCTTAAACCATTCAATTATTAATTAATTAAACAAAATTCAATTAAATAAGATCAATATTTGTAGAGCAATTGTTGTTAATAAAGATTTTTCAATCTTGATTGCTGGATGTGATAATTAAATTAAAGTATTTGATTTTAAATAATCAACATTGGAATAATTTCAAATATTAAATGAACATAGTAAAAGTGTGTCTACTTTGAATTTCATGATGAAATCAGATCACTTTATATCTGGAAGTTATGATAAATTGATTATAATATGGAAAAGAAATCAAAATAATTAATGGATTTGTTAATAGAAATTGAATGGACATACAAATGCAATATTTTGTTTGGTATTAAACAATAATGAAGATCTTATTGCATCTGGTGGATAAGATAATACAATTAACTTGTGGTAAAAATAAAATGAATGGTTTTGTTCATAGACAATCAAAGATCATACTAAAAGAGTATTAGGATTAAGTTTTAATGAAGAATAAAATAGATTAATATCTTGTGGATAAGATTACTGTATATTAATAATTGAACAATCAGAATAAAATAAATAATGGAATGTAATATAAAAGATTAAAGTGAAAAATTATTAAGGTGTTCGATTATGTTTTATTGATAATAATACATTTACATTATTATATCCTTGGGGAAGAGATTACATGCATGTTTTTGAGTTGAATACTTCTAATAAATAATATTCAAATACAAAGGATATTCCTCTAAAAATCAAAAGTGGCTTTGAAAATACACAATTTCCTTAATAATACATAAAATCTAAATGTATTATTGTGAATAAGAATGCTTCAAATGTGAATTTAATAAGAAAGTAATAAAATGGTGAATTTACAATTGAGTAATCTATTTAGTTTGAAAAATATCAGATTTTTGGATATATGACTGATGATGGATAGTATCTGATTACTTGGGATGCTTAATCAAAAGAATATCAAATTAGGAAATATCAGGAATAATGATTTATTCTATTATTTTTTAAAATATTCATAAATATCTATTTTAAATCTTAAATTTTTTAATTCATAAATCAAGTTGGAATGATTCTTTTTTCTCAATT